ATCTATATATCTATATCTATCTATCTACTATCTATATCTATCTATCTATCTTATTCGCTTGTTTGACATTTATTGACTTACTTACTTGCTCTGTTCCTTGCATGCTTACTTGCTTACTAGTTTACTTACACTCTTACTTACTTGCTTGCATGCTTACAGACTTATTTACTTAATTGCTTACTTTTACCTGACTTGTTTACTCCTTTGCTTGATACAGTACGTACTTGCTTGCATGCTTACTTTTTACCATAATCACCTGCTTGATACGTACTTGCTTGATACGTACTTGCTTGATACGTACTTGCTTGCATGCTTACTAACTTATTTACTCACTTCTTGCTTTCTTGCTTGCTTGCTTTCTTGCATACTTTCTTACTTACAGTAGGCTACATACAATTTGCCAAAATACTTTGCCAGATATTTCCTCAGAGTTTTGAGGATATTTAAACTCTTGTTCTTTTTAGCAGCATTTCATTGTGGCACTTTTCCAAACTAAGCTTGACATTATTATGCGTTTTGCAGAAAGTTCCAGTTCTGGCCCAGCGTGCCTTCAGCATTTCCGCCAGACAGCTGAAGAACAAAGTCCCCGACGCCCAGAAGATCTTCCAGGTAAAACAGGAGAGAACAGAAAAGTAATGTTGGGATTTATCACTGTGAGATGTTACACAGCAACACAGCAGCAATGAAAACACAAACAGGCTTAAAAATCTAAAGAACTCAGGTTTACTGATCTGTGTAATGCTTACTGGGGGGAAAACAACACCTCTTCTGAAGTAAAAGCTAATGTTGGGCTATAAAGAAACTACATTACGGTCACATGACTTCACCACCAGTAAGCTAATTGGTGGCTAATGTTGGGCTATAAACAGGGGTGCACACAACTTTCTCAGTGAGGTACTCAGATGACTACCTGGAGTCAGTGTTTGGTGCTCCAACTTCTGACGATTGTCAACGGGGGGGGGGTGGGGGTGGCGTCAGTGGAGTTCAGCGCTTTGCGAATGTCAACGGGGGGGGGGGGGGTGGCGTCAGTGGAGTACAGCGCTTCGCGATTGTCAACGGGGGGGGGGGGGGGGAGGAGGGTGGAGTACAGCGCTTCGCGATTGTCAACGGGGGGGGTGGAGTACAGCGCTTCGCGATTGTCAACGGGGGGGGTGGCGTCAGTGGAGTACAGCGCTTCGCGATTGTTCAACGGGGGGGGGGGGTGGGGGGGGGAGTAGAGTACAGAGCTTCGTGACCGTGGAGCGTGTGAACGTTGGGATCAGCTGTTTTAGCGCAGGGCTGCTGTACAGACCGACGTTAACAGCAGCCCTGTCTGTGCACACGGAGACCGACTCTGTCGTCCGGTGAACTAACCGCCTTCTGGAAAAGCTTCACATTCACGTCGGTACGCAAATGCGCTTTGTGACGCGAGTGACGGTACGGTTTCTGATTGTTGCCGCGCATGCGTACCTGCGTACCAGTTATGTGCACCCCTGGCTATAAAGGAACTACAGCACGGTCACATGACTTCATGTCACCACCGCTAAGCTAAAGGTGGCTAATGTTGGGCTATAAAGAAACTACAGCACGGTCACATGACTTCACGTCACCACCGCTAAGCTAAAGGTGGCTAATGTTGGGCTATAAAGAAACTACAGCACGGTCACATGACTTCACGTCACCACCGCTAAGCTAAAGGTGGCTAATGTTGGGCTATAAAGAAACTACAGCATGGTCACATGACTTCACGTCACCACCGCTAAGCTAAAGGTGGCTAATGTTGGGCTATAAAGGAACTACAGCACGGTCACATGACTTCAGTCACCACCGCTAAGCTAAAGGTGGCTAATGTTGGGCTATAAAGAAACTACAGCATGGTCACTGTTAGCAGATTTAGACTTATAGCTTTTGTCTATCTGCAGCAGAAAGGTGACTATTCTCACAGTTCAAGTTTAGCCATTCGTCTCAGCGTTATTTATTAGATGCACACAAGTCAAGAGAAATGAGAACTGACAAAGAAGGGGCGTGACTCCAACTGTCATATACCCCAGGTAGTGACATCACAATCATGTGCCACAGCGCTACCCAATAAACACAGTAGTAGTCACAGCTACTTACTTAAAACAATATGGTACACAGTAATACATGGAGTCATACATATCTCTGTATGTTATACCTCAACAGTCACATGACTTCACGTCACCACCGCTAAGCTAAAGGTGGCTAATGTTGGGCTATAAAGGAACTACAGGACGGTCACATGACTTCATCTCACCACCGCTAAGCTAAAGGTGGCTAATGTTGGGCTATAAAGGAACTACAGCACGGTCACATGACTTCACGTCACCACCGCTAAGCTAAAGGTGGCTAATGTTGGGCAATAAAGAAACTACAGCATGGTCACTGTTAGCAGATTTAGACTTATAGCTTTTGTCTATCTGCAGCAGAAAGGTGACTATTCTCACAGTTCAAGTTTAGCCATTCGTCTCAGCGCGTTATTATTAGATGCACACAAGTCAAGAGAAATGAGAACTGACAAAGAAGGGGCGTGACTCCAACTGTCATATACCCCAGGTAGTGACATCACAATCATGTGCCACAGCGCTACCCAATAAACACAGTAGTAGTCACAGCTACTTATATAAACAATATGGTACACAGTAATACATGGAGTCATACATATCTCTGTATGTTATACCTCAACAGTCACATGACTTCACGTCACCACCGCTAAGCTAAAGGTGGCTAATGTTGGGCTATAAAGGAACTACAGCACGGTCACATGACTTCATCTCACCACCGCTAAGCTAAAGGTGGCTAATGTTGGGCTATAAAGGAACTACAGCACGGTCACATGACTTCACCTCACCACCGCTAAGCTAAAGGCTTTTAAATGTGCTTTTTTATCAGTTTTATATCAGTGAATACAATGGCTCAATACAAATATTTGAATTACTCCTCATATGAGTCATGAAAATGCTGATTTGCTTTTTATTTTATTGAGTATATAAACTTGTATCTATTTATCTTTATTTAACTTCAATAACTGTGGGCTTTTGAATCTGTTTTATATCTTCAGTGAATGCACATGGATATACGTAATCTGCAGTTCTGCCATTTCTCTCAGATCTAAAATATATTTGTGGAGTTTGGCTGCGATTATTTCACTTCAACATCCAACAAAAATACACTGAAACAATTAGAGGTCCGAACAAAAACACATGGTTCAACCTACGAAAAAGAAATATGGCAATCAAATTCCTCTGAGAAAACAGCCCCATGACTCACAGGCACTATTGATTGATAATGTGTTAGGTGATATCTTTTTATGCAAACACTTATTATGTTTTTTCTCTCCAGGAGGACAATGGTTTGCCAGTTCACATAAAGGGGGGAGCGGAGACGTCCTGATGTACAGAGCCACCATGGCGCTAACTATCGGAGGTAAAATGCAGACTTTCTGTTGGGAAAATACTGAATGTACTCTTCAATATCAGAGAGTAGCACATGATCAGAGAGGGCAAAAGTACACACATCCTTTACTCAAGTAGAAGTACAGATACTCGTGTTTTAAGCACTGACTAAACTTCTTTACTCAAGTAAAAGTAAAGAGGGCTTTGAAATGTACTTCAGTAAAAAGTACCCATAACTAGCAGCTGTTTTAAAGAGTACCTGACCTCCCTTTATATTAATAGAACAATAATGTCATTGTTAGCTAATGAATGTTTCCATGCTGAACAACGGCAACATGACAACGTTTTCATTGGTCCCTCTTCTTTAGAGAAGACCAGGAAATGATGGATACACGGATCGTGTTCAAATCAATAGGCACGCAATGACTCTAAATAATAATGATCACGCCACCAAACCACATTCAAACTAAAGGAACAGCCTGTTTGGGAAATGTAAGAAGTAAAAGTAAAAAGTCGTCAGAAAAATAAGTAGTTGTTGGAAAAATCCTGTATGTCCTCTTCCAATATGAGAGTAACATGATAACAAAGGTACCCCAACTGTAGCTGTGAACATGACAGGATGTATGATTACCTAGAAGAGCATCAGGACTGTTTGAGGCATATGATAGCTATGTGATTAACATGATGATTCAGCCTCTATGGAGATAGACATATGACAAGCATGATCATTTCTGACGTGGAGCTAATCTGAAGTAAACATTGAATACTGCTTTTCTATTCCTCCATCTTGTGACTGTGTAACTCCCTCTCTTGGATATCAGCATGTGAAGGACACTGTTCAGGAACTAGTTGATGCTCTGTATGTGATGACTACTTCCATTCTGGAGAGGATCACAAATACATGGATCCTGAGATTGAAGATCAGCCGGGGACCAGTGATATGTTTCTAACACTTTCCAAAACCAAAAAACCAAAACAATTGTTTAATAATAAAACATCTTTGTGATTTATGTTTTTTTAGGTACCTTTTACTCTATATACTGGCTGGTCCTACTGTGCCTTTCCTCACAGTAAAGCGTGATGAAGAAAATGGCTCCGTTTATCGCCTGGAGAACAAACGCTCGGCTCCGTCTAATGTTTGTTGTGGTGTAATCCATATGTAATTGTCTCCCAGGTTGTTCTGCTTTAATTGGGCAACGAATAAACAATGGAAATAAATTAAACATTTTTCTTTTGTCTCTCTGTGGATTATAATAGGTTGGTAGTGTCTCTACTTTAAAGAGTCCTCTCCTGCTGATGTTCAGCTGTATATCAGTATGTAGTGTCTCTACTTTAAAGAGTCCTCTCCTGCTGATGTTCAGGTGTATATCAGTATGTAGTGTCTCTACTTTAAAAGAGTCCTCTCCTGATGATGTTCAGGTGTATATCAGTATGTAGTGTCGCTACTTTAAAGAAGTCCTCTCCTGCTGATGTTCAGGTGTATATCAGTATTGTAGTGTCTCTACTTTAAAGAGTCCTCTCCTGCTGATGTTCAGGTGTATATCAGTATGTAGTGTCTCTACTTTAAAGAGTCTCCTGCTGATGTTCAGGTGTATATCAGTATGTAGTGTCTCTACTTTAAAGAGTCCTCTCCTGCTGATGTTCAGGTGTATATCAGTATGTAGTGTCTCTACGTTAAAGAGTCCTCTCCTGCTGATGTTCAGGTGTATATCAGTATAGTATCTCTACTTTAAAGAGTCCTCTCCTGCTGATGTTCAGGTGTATATCAGTATAGTGTCTCTACTTTAATAAGATTTCAAACAGCAAGGATTGAAAGTACAGTTACTCAAGTACTATAAGATAAATAAATCAAAAACATACAACAGTTGCTTCACTGAAAATCTTAATGGTAAAATACAAAATAAAGTTGTTGTTTTTAATGAGGCGTCATGAATTGTTTCCATATGCTCAATTAAACTTCCCAGAGAAAGAGGAAGAGGACATGACTGCATGAGATGAAGACATCTTGATAAAATATGAACATTTGAAACATCTTGAACTTCAAACCTCAAAGAGCAGGAATGAGAACAAACACAAGAGAAGACAAAGACCACGACCGATGTGGCTCCAAAGGAAATCCAAATATTCTTCAAATAAAATAATAAATTGAGAGAATTTAGGAGGACTTAGTAGGAGATGTGATGACAGCTGAATGGTTTTGACCTTTTTCAGAAGAAG